AGAAAAGAGTGGGTGTAGGGGGGATTGAAGAAAGGAAAAAAGAACAGGTATCAACGCAACAAAACATAGTGACTGATGTTGCATTTAGGTTTTTGATGATTGTAGTTATTAGGGAAGCAAGTGAGAGGAATGCAGTTCCAATATGGAGAAGTGCGAGGAAAGAAACTGTTAGAAGGGCGGTTACATTTAACTATTTCAACAGTAAAAAGTTGGGACCTAAATGCCAATCTAGTAGTACACTTAAATTCATGTAGTCAGTGCACCAGGAAAAAAAATGCTCATCAGTGCAGTAGCGATGAAAATATTTGTAGAAAAGACAGAGGGAAGCCACATCACGTCTGTGAGAAAGTGGCTGAAGCCAAGAAGCTAATTCAGTACCGATTACATTACAGATCCTACTTTAGATTTTTTTGAGAATATTGCAGTAAGGGAAGGTAGGGGAAAATTTTATGGATGACACTTTAACTGCGCAACCAGTAATAAAAATCACAGAAATGCAATCTATGTTGTTATTCAGAATTTAAACATCATCATCATTTAATAGTAATAAAAAATATATATATATATATATATAATATATTTAAAGTAATAATAATAGTATTAAAAGTAATAGACAGATACACACATATAAAATACACAAATACATATATACATACATATATATAAACAATTTACATAGTTACAAACCTAATATATATTTTTCAGTGTTTGATGCAAAATAAATGTCTATTTTTAAGACTATATAAACTTATGTTTATGATGACATTTAAGTATAAATTCTGGTTCAATAACTCATTTGTATTTTTTGTACTTAATTATTTTAATTTTTCTTCCAAAGCAAAGTTTATATATATATATATATATATATATATATATATATATATATATATATATATATATATATATATATATAGCAAAAGTATTTAATACATTGGTTTTTCTTACATATCTCAAAAATAACAGATGAATTTCAACGAAACTTAAAGGAAATATTTAAACGAACATCGTCGATCAAAACATTGAAGGAAAATTTAAAACCACTGCTTTGAGAAATATTTATTAACAACTAGCAGTAGCGCCCGGCGTTGCCTGGGATGTAACAGTATGAGATAGATCAAGTATCGACCATCATAAAGACTGAAAATAAAATTGACAAAGATTATTGTTTAAGGTTGACGGACACGCATGTCTTAATTAGTTTTTTTTTTTTACGAATTGGTCAAACCTAAACTCAAAAAAAAAACATTGTTTTCAATCGTTATGAGTCTACCGATTGAATAGAATTTTATTATAAACAATTGTCTTGTAAATGGAATTTTAAAGCATTCTGAATCCAGACAAAAAATAAAGAAAAAAGTGTGCAAGACAATAAGAAACACTACCTGCCAAAAAAAAGTGAAGTTTTGTTGAAATCGGTTGCAAAATGTAGGAAATCCAATCCCATATATAAACGTCACACACACACACACACAACCTGGGTTTTATAATAAGTATAACTTGATATGAGTTGTCCCCCTTTCATTCTCGCCATGCCTCTTCATCGTGTTTTCAAATAGATTTCTTGCAAAAACAATTGTGCTTTTCCAATTTTTGGTGCTGTCAGAACCACCGCAGGATAATTTTACGTAGTCCTGTGAAGTTTTTGTTGAAAACGGTTGAAAAAATGTAGGAAATATGATCCCATATATAAACGTACAGACACACACACACACACACACACACATCTGCAACCTGGGTTTTTATAATAAGCATGAAAACAAAATAGCCATATGCAAAATATTTTTAACACTTTACTAATATTTAGTACAGAGCCTCTGGAAACCCACCAGTCGTTTCCCGTAGTCTTCAACTATTTCTTAAAAAGTACTTGCATGGTATTTTACCCATTCTTCTTCACAAATTTTTCAATTTGTTTATAAAGATGGATTTCTTTTAGGGGTGTAATCTATCAATAGTTTATATAAAGTTGGATTTAAAAACTGACTTGGCCATTCCAGGAAATTAATGTCATTATTATTAAACCAATAGTTGTTTTTTTTTAAATAAAGATGAAAATGAAAAAAAAGACCATGTCCCAAAGATGTGGCACTGTTCAAGAGTTGGTAGACAAAATTTGAGTGTATTTTCAGCATTCATTGTTCCTTCGATGATTTTTATTTTCCTGATCCATTTGAGGAAAATTTTATTACATCATAATATTTCACCCCATGTTTGACTGTTATTACGCGCCAATCAAGTATTCCGCTTCTTTTTTTTTCCTCCATTTTGAGTGTGATGTTTGTCCGTTTTCAATTTTCGTTTCGTCTCCAAATTATTTTCTCCCAGAAAAGATATTTCATATTTTTTCAAAATTCAAAAATTTCAAATGGTGTCTTTCTCGAATCTTCAATGCAACTGATCTTTTAATTGCATCTTTGATGAACTTCAATTCGGGAATTTTTTGATTTTCCACGAGTTGAAAAATTTTTCTTCACAGTAAAATTATTTATTTATTTATTTTACGGGGACGACCAATCTTTGAATGTTTTTTTGATCCATTTGCGAACAACAGCAAAAAATTGAACCAAATTCAAATCTTGAGCGATTTTTATATATATTGATTTGTGATTCTTTATTATCTTTAATGTCGTTCGAAAATTTCATTTAAGCGTTGAGTAGTGGCAACAGAATGCTTTTTGTCTCAGAGCTGAATCATCCAGTTAAGATCGTGATATTGGTCGATCCGGCATCAATCAATATGGGTAGGAATCATGGAAACACGTCTCTTCGTTTATTTGCATTGGTGTTAAATACTTTTAACGATGGTTTATTTTATTTATTGTTAACAAATGTTAAAAAGTGATTTTGTTTTCCTTCTATGTATTGATCGACAATGTTCGTTTAAATATTTCCTATAAGTTTCGTTGAAATTGGTCTGTTATTTTTTTGAGAATAAGAAAAAACCAATGTGTTAAATATTTTACCAATACCAAAATATATATATATAAAATATATATTTTTTTAAGATCAAATATTATAAATGACCAGAAGAATGATAGGATAAGTCACAAAAATGACAAACAATAAAACTGACATGCTTTGCTTTTATTAAAAAAGATGGAGGTTTTTTACAAAGGGTCCGACAGGTGAAGGTGAAGAGGAGCACGTCGCGGCGTTTACTCGTTCCCCCAATTTTTTGAGAGATGAAAGGTCGGATTACTTTTAAACACGAGCGCGTGGGCAGGGACAAAACGATATGTGTTTATCTCAGCTGCTATTAGCATCGTTTCTTGTTAGGAAATTTTGAGGATGACTGGAACCACCCTCTTAATTGACTGTACACATGGGTTTCATTTGGACGCCATGTATTTAAAAGTAGTTTCTGGTTATTATTTTTTTTTAGTTAGGAGGACTTGTGTATGGGGAAATAGTTAGCCCCTTTTTGGTATCGTTCTCTGAAAAAAAAAAACGCTGAGTAGGAACTTATAAAATACATTTTGAGTAGCTGACAAAAATGACGGGTGCAATATATATTCATAGTTAAAAAAAGATTACGTGCAAAACAAAAAAAAAAAATTTTATTGTCAGAAATGCATTTTTTTTGAAAAAGTGAAGATGTTTTCAAAAAAAATGAAAAATTTAGGTACGATCCCAATAAAAATAGACACACACACAATAGACATTTTATATCAATATATACATTTTATGATCTATAAACAATAAATCATAAAAAAAAAATAAAATAAAAAAATGAAATTTTTACTCTATAAAAAATTTAAAAAAATATTATGTACACAAAAAAATTTCTATAATAGATTTTTTTTATTAAAATTAAATGGAAATAAATAGAGGCATTGATCATGAAACAGATGTCGCTGAAAATGACCTGTCGTTTGAAGGCATGAGCAATTACATTAAAAATTCAATTTCTCTTGATTACGCGCCAATCATAAAATTTCTTTAAAATATTTAGATTTGGCATTGAGATATTTGATTTTCAACTGAAAATTTAAAACAAAATGACTCAACAATGTAGCATCATCTGTGAGGTTGAATTTATTTTCCAGGTGTTAAATGCTTCAAACGTTCAAAATTTATTTATTTAGTCGTTTTTCAATCCAAAAAAATTGCAACATTTTAAATATATATATTTTGTTCCTCTTTTTAATATTCGGCATTTCATATTAAGCGTTAACCCATGCATGTTTTTGTTGATCATCCCGGATAAACAAAAACCAAATCCGGCATCAAGGCAAGATCGGGAAATTTTACGTTTTTGCATCGAAAATGTAACGTCTGAAATTGTCCGCCCTGACCTATAATCCATACCATTTGTTCATCATCCAGCCAGTTGTTAAAAAAAAAAAACAATAAAACCTTTTATCCTAACAATTCATTTGAAAAATAAAATGAATAAAAATATTTTTTTTTCATATTATAAAAATTGTTGAAAAATCTGTTGGTAAATGACAAACAATAAAACACTAAAAAGTAAAAAAAAAAAAATGGATTTTTAACATAAAATTACAAGCAAAAAATATGGATTTTTTAATAAAAAAAACTTTAAAACACGTCCTGGGATGACGAAAAAGAGGCAAGGTTTCTGACCGGGAAATTTTGAGGAGAGTGGAACCACCTGGAAGACATTATTCCGGTCTACCTTAAGCTTCCTTTGATAAAGGGACAATTTGAATGAAATAGCCCCTAAACTGGGGTGCGATGGAAAATATAAAATACATTTTCATAGTAAAATGACAGCAATATATATATATATATAAATATATATAAAAAAAAAAATATTACCAGCAATGCATTTTTGGTGAAAAATGTAGATGTGTAGAAATAGATAGATAGACCAATAATAGATTAGATAGACAGATCAAGATACAAAGATGATCTATAAACAAATAGAAAAAAAAAAATAAATAAAATAACTTCCTCTGAAAATTTAAAAGATATACAAAAATCTACTAGATTTATAGCATTAAATAACCCATAGAGGTTGACATGATGAAAATGACCTGTCGTTAGATAGATAGATAGATAGCATTCAAGGATAGATAGATAGATAAAATGGTCTTTAAAAGAAAGAAGATTGAGATGTTGATAAGATAAACAAAATGAGATAACAATGTATTTCATCTGTAGTTGAAGGCAGATAATTACGAAAAATAGATTTAGTTCAATCCATAAAGATAGTTTAAATCATAAATTTTGTTCAAAATATTCAGATTTCGCTATTAACTAACCCATAAAGGTGTTGATATGCCGCTAAATAAAAACCAAATTCCATGTGAAGACTAAGTTTATTCTTTTGCTCGAAAATGTCACTGAAATTGGTAAGGCACATAATCCATACCTCATCATCCAGCCAGGCAAAAAAAAAAAAAAAAAACGAAAAAATTATCCTACCCTGCATTTGAAAAATAAGCTCAAACAGTCGCTCAAGTACAAAATTGTTGGTAAATCTGTTGGTAAATGATATACTTGTTGGTAAATAAATTAGATAAATGATATTTAGATAAATATGGAGGTAATTATCAGTAAAGCCTTAAAAGATTTAGTGAAAAAGAGGCAGATAGATCAATAGATAGACTGCTGGAAGACAGATAGATATGAAGCTTCTCCTTGATAAAGATATTTGAAGATAGATGGACAATTATGATAGATACTAGTATATATATATAGATATATATATATATATATATGTGTGTGTGTGTGTGTGTGTAGAGAGATAGATAGATAGATAGATAGATAGATAGATAGATAGATAGATAGATAGAAAGATGGATAGAAAGAAAGGAAGAAAGAAAGAACACCAGAAAAGAAAATAGATAGATATGAACAAACTGTGATATATAGACAGATATGAGCAGACTGAGATAGATAGATAGATAGATAGATAGATAGATAGATAGAAAGAAAGAAGAAAGAGACTGAAGTAGATAGATAGATAGATAGATAGAAACAGACTGAGATAGATAGATAGATAGATAGATAGATAGATAGATAGAAGAAATAGACTGAGATAGATAGATAGATAGATAGATAGATAGATAGATAGATAGATAGATATGAGCAGACTGAGATAGATAGATAGATAGATAGATAGATAGATAGATAGAAGAAATAGACTGAGATAGATAGATAGATAGATAGATAGATAGATAGATAGATAGATAGATATGAAGAGGCTGAGATAGATAGATAGATAGATAGATAGATAGGATAGATACTGAATCTATGAGATAGATAGATAGATAGATAGATAGATAGATGAAGAGAATGAAGAGGCTAGATAGATAGATAGATAGATAGATAGATAGATAGATAGATAGATAGATAGATAGATAGATAGAGATAGATAGATAGATAGATAGACTGAGATAGATAGAGATAGATAGATAGATAGATAGATAGATATGAAGAGGCTGAGATAGATAGATAGATAGATAGATAGATAGATAGATAGATAGATTTGAGATAGATAGAGGGGACTGAGATAGATAGATAGATAGATAGATAGATAGATAGATAGATAGATAGATAACAGAATTTTAAGAAACGATTCTTTTTCAAATCATTTGTGAGATTATTGCATAAAAAGAATTTTCAGGCAAAATTAAATTTCGCTTGGAAATATTTTATTAAATTTTCTTTTAAAATTTAATCTGTTTCTTCATCTTTTGGCCCCTTCTTCACTTTTTCGTTCTTTCAATTTAAAAAAAAAAAAAAAGAAGTTTTTTTTCTTCTCCAGCGATTCTTAGAAATTCCCCGAACACTTGGATTTTATATTTTGTGGGTTGGTGGGAGGAAATATTATTTTTTTTTTGTGATTTTGCCGCACCCCTTGTTGATTTATCAGCACAAATCGCGTTCTTCTTGAATTATTCGGTTTGTGGGAAGACAGCGGCAAAAATCAACCGGCCATAACCGGATATTCATGGGTTGAAGAACGCAGTTCAATTTGTTTCTTTTATATCGGTTTTATTTGTTATGACCAACGAGCTAGAGTTACGCTGATTTGGCTCCATATTTCTTTCGATAGCCTTCTTTCTTTTTTTCTCTCTCTCTCTTCGCTCTCTTCCTCTACCCGGTCTTTTTGGGGTTTTTGGTTTTCTCTCCAGCCTGTCTTTATCTTTCTTTCCTTCTCGTTCACTTCTTTTCGATTTCTCTCTCTCTCTCTCTCTCTCTCTCTCTCTCTCTCTCTCTGTTGCTTTTCTTTTTCTTTCTCTCTTTCTCGCCTGTTCATTTTCTGCTGCTCGTTCACTCTCTTTCTGTATTCCCTTCGCCCATCCTCTCATTTTGATTCTTTCTCTCTCTCTCTCTCTCTGCCTCAACCTTGCTTCTATTTCTGTCTATTCCTTTCTCTTTCTTTCTCTTTCTCTCTCTCTCTCTCTCTCTCTCTCCTTCTTCTACTCTCTCTGCGGTCACTTCTTCTCGCTTTCTCATTCTTGTACTATTTTTCTTTCTTACTTCCCCACTTTTTGTTTTTCTTTTTCTCCACATTTTTCTTTCGCTCTCCGGTGCATTTTCTTTCTCCTTTCGCTCAATCTTTCTTTCTATCTTTCTTTCTTTCTTTCTTTTCTTTCTTTCATTTTCTTTCTTTTCTTTTTTCTTTCTTTCTTTTTCTTTTCTTTTTTTTTCTTTCTTTTCTTTTCTTTCTTTTTTTCTTTTTTCATTTTTTTCTTTCATTGTTTCTTTTCTTTTTTTTTTCTTTCTTTTTTTTTCTTCTTTCTTTTTCTTTTCATTTTTCTTTTTATTTCTTTTTTTCTTTTTTTTTTTTTTTTTTTTTTCTTTTTTTTATTTCTTTCTTTTTTTTCTTTCTTTTCGTTCTTTTTTTACTTTCTTTTCTTTCTTTCTTTCTTTTCTTTCATTCTTTCTTTCTTTCTTTTCTTTCTTTCATTCTTTCTTTCCTTTCATTCTTTCTTTCTTTCTTTCTTTCTTTTCTTTCATTCTTTCAGTCTTTCTTTCTTTCTTTTCTTTCATTCTTTCTTTCTTTCTTTTCTTTCATTCTTTCATTCTTTCTTTCTTTCTTTCTTTTTTCTTTTATTCTTTCTTTTCTTTCATTCTTTCTTTCTTTATTTATTTCCTTCTTTTTTTTCTTTTCTTTCTTTCTTTCATTCTTTCTTTTTTCTTTCATTCTTTCTTTATTTCTGTCTTTCTTTTCTTTCTTCTTTCTTTTTTCTTTCTTTCTTTTCTTTCTTTCTTTCTTTCTTTTCTCGCTTTCTTTTCTGGCCCTCACTCTTACTCTAGTTTGCTCCTCTCCGATCTCTTTCTCTCTCTTCCACTTTCTCTATCACTTTCCTCTCTTTCCTGCTCTCTCTCTCTCTTTCTCCTTTCTCTCCCTTCTCCCTTTTGCACCCCTTCTTCTTACCACTCTAATTCTTTCTCTCTTTCTTTTTTTGTTCTTGCTTTCTATTCCTCACTCTCTCTTTTCCCTTCCTTCTCTTCTCTCTTTCCCACTCTCATTCTAACTCACTGACTTTGGCTCTCTGTTTCTTTCTTGTACATGCTCTTTCTGTCACCCTCTCTATTTCTCCTATTTTACTATCGCTCTCACTCTCTTCCCCCTCTCTTTATCACTTGTACCGGCTCTCTTTCCTAGGCTCTCTTTTTTTTTTGTTTCGTTCTTCCTTTCTCTCTCTTTTTCTATCACTCTTTCTCTCTTTGTTATCGCTTTTCTACTTTCTTTCCCCTAGATATCTTTCTCTGTTCCCATTTCTCTCTTCCTTTCATTTTCTTTTTCTATTTTCTTCGCCCCCTCTTTCTCTTGCTCTGTCTCTTTCTTTTTTTCCTCTCTCTCACTGACTTATGTTGCCATTTAGTTTTCTTCTTTTTTTATCTCTTTCTGTCCTTCCGTCTTTCAGTTATTTACAGGAAGCTGTGAAGAGCAATGACCACTCAGACCCTAAAAAAATAAGATAACATAAAAGAGAGACACAGGGAAAGTGTTAAATGCAATATTCCAAGAAAGAAAAAGAAGAAAGAGGATAGTGAAAGAGGAAAAATGGGAGGTGTGAGAGAGAAGAGAGAGAGAGAGAGAGAGAGAGAGAGAGGGAGAGAGAGGGTGAATAAAAGTAAAAGGCCAGAGAAGGATAGAGAAGGGGGTGTCTTCTCTCCCCAACTATGGGTTAATTAGTAAGATTTTTATCACTAAATCATTATTAGACTGAGATAGATAGATAGATATGAAGAGGCTGAGATAGATAGATAGATAGATATAGATAGCTGTCTATAATTCTGAGATGAGGAATTATGTACATTATTTACATTATTCGGACTATTGTCCTCATCTTTGTTGCCATATTTATCCGATTCTTCAGTATCTGTCTATATTTATGAGATGAGGTATTATGTACACTATTTACATTATTCGGACTATTGTCCTCATCTTTGTTGCCATATTTATCCGATCCTTCAGTATCTGTCTATATTTCTGAGATGAGGTATTATGTACACTATTTACATTATTCGGACTATTGTCCTCATCTTTGTTGCCATATTTATCCGATCCTTCAGTATCTGTCTATATTTCTGAGATGAGGTATTATGTACACATTTTTACATTATTCGAACTATTGTCCCCATCTTTGTTGCCATATTTATCCGATCCTTCAGTATCTGTCTATATTTTCTTTTGATGATGAACTATTATGTACACTATTTACATTATTCGAACTATTGTCCTCATTTTTGTTGAATAAAATTACTAGAGCCCAAAATTGAAAGCGAAAGTTTTAAAGAAGATGATATTATGTAAATACTATATTTTTAAAATTTGAAATCTTTATATATTTTTTGAGATTTATTATATATTTGAGATAATATATATATTTTATATTATATTATCCTCATCTTTGTTGCCATTTTATTTATCCTTCAAATTTCTATATTTCTGAGACGTATTATTTACATTTATTTACATTTTCGAACTATTGTCCTCATCTTTGTTCATATTTACGAAACTTCCAATATGTTATTTTTCTGAGATAAAATTATTATTACTATTTATATTATTCAAAAAACATATTCATGAATTGTTATAAAATCCGACATTTCAGAAATACATAATATTATTGAATCTCCTATTTACATTATTGAGTTGAAATTAAAAATATTTGTCTATGTTTCAGAGAAATAGCTATTATTTACACTAAATATGATATAAATTCATCCTTGTTATATATACAACGTTTGGGAACCAGGCGGTTGAAATGTCGAACTGAACCTTTATCTCCTGAGCCGACCAAGCATTAGAAAGAATATTTAAAGGGACCAGGATAAAAAATGCCAGAAAAAATAGATGAATATAAATGAACTTGATATAAACATAATGATAACAAAAGATTGCAAATATGAGCACTCATAAACATTTGCTGATGACATTAGGTTTATAATAAAAAAGAAATTCATGCACAGATGTCGTCAAGGATACATGGTACAGTGGATAAAGGCGTTGGTTAGATCCAGTGACAGGATCCAAAGAGTATGAGTACAATATTCAGTTAAGAAAGTGGAGAATTTACAGACGATAAAATTAAATTGGAACTAGACGAGTTTATTTTGAGCGAAATAAAGGGTTGATTGAAAAGGAAAAACCTTGAAGAATAAAAGAACGTCCAACATGGAAAATTTTTTCATTTTACGTTCTGGCCGGAACGTTGTGATAAATATGGCGACAAAGATCTGTTTAGCAATATTTATTTTCTATCGTTAAATGTACAAAGAAAATTACTTAATGGGGCAACATATGTTTTTTTTTCTTAGCAGAACAAAATTGAATAAAAAACGATTACAAAAATCGAATAACGCCATTGTAAAAGTAAAATTGTTTTCATTCCATTTATTTTCATCGCTGAGTTTCGTTTCAAATATATTCGTTGCCATTATAGATATTTTTAAAATAATTTTTTCCCCATAACAGTCAAAACATGAAATCCGAACAAGAATTATTTTAGTATACATTTGCAATAGTTGACAGTTCGAATATGGACGATTTTTATACGCATAGTTGATAACTTGTATTCGATGATACCCGTCTATTAGGGCGGCTAATTCAAAAATATATTGCAGATTTTTAGTCATATTAATTTGAAAAAAATTCAACATTTTTAATCATTTTGTGGTTTATTTTGCAACTATGCTAATCAGAAATAGTTAAAGTTTCTGGAGATTAATTTTAAAATATGATCAACAATTTTCAACAAAAAGCACGTTCAAGCCCTCGGTAATTTACAAAACTTTTGATTTCGTTCATTTATCTAATATATTTTGGACGGAAAAAGGGTTTGAAACCCAATTTATATCACAAAATCTTAAATATTGATCAAATGATTGTTTTATTTCATTACTCAAAAATTTATGAGAAAAAGCCAGATAAAGTCGACACCATCTGAAAAAAATTTTTTCAAAATTGCAGATATATTCGAGAAAGATTTGATCAAAAAAAATTAAAGAGATTGATAAAATATATAAAATTTTTTTTCCTTTTTTTAATTTTTTTACCATTTTTTTCGAATTGAATGGACGTGGAATAAATTTTTTAAATAAAAAATTGACTAAAATTATCTATTTTTAAAATAAAGAAAATTACTTAAAAATATTGAAAAATTTTTTAATGTGTGGGGGAATCAAACGAAAAAAAAATAAATAGGCAGAGATTACGAAGTTACAAGTAAAAATTCGTCATCATTTCTTTAAAAAAAATGAGTTTCGCTTCAAAATGCTATTTAAATTGCCATTATAGCATTTTTCTAAAATTTTTCCCATAACAGTCGGATTTGAAAGCCCGACAATGGCAGCGAATGTTAGACGATCTTCTCAAAGATGAGGAAGAAACGTGAAACAGAAACGTGTTTCTAAATAAAGATGCTGAGGCTACTATGGATCGAACATGGTAGCAACGACGAGGTTTAAGAAAAAATGGAAACAAAAATGAAACTTATACGCAACATCAGGAAGAGGCTGGGCAACAACCTGAATAATATAAATAATTATAATACCTCATCTCAGGGATATAGACAAATATCAGGAAGAGGTAGTTAACATTTAAGGAGCACGTAATGAAGAAAGAGGGCGTGGGAAATCTGATACTCATAGGAAGAGGGTCAGAGAAAAAACAAAACTTCTTAAGAGCTGCAAGGAACAGAAAGCTGTGGAGGGCCATGATCGTTTACGTCTTGAAGGGACACATAACTTTTTATTATATATTTAAAAACCGTTCTTTTTTGGAGCGACTAAAACACGTATATAATATTTAAATACGTCCTAAATGTTGTAGCCGGCGGGTGATAGTGCAGACAAGCTGTTGATAAAAATGCTTCCGTGACATCATATAAATAAAACTAACAACTAATATTTTATTTCATTTCCTGAGAATGGCCCAGGATTGAAAACCGGCGCCCCATAACCGGCCGCTTTTTAAGTTTTGACCGTCGAAAGGCAGTCCTCTGGGGAAGGAAAAAATAAATAAAATCGAAAATATTTAAAAAACGAAAAAAATTGGAAAATTTTAAGTCCAGACAGAAAACCCGGACTAGATCATAGAAATATAAAAATGTCACCAAAAGACATTTTTCAGAAATATGATGCAGCCAAAGCATATCAGATGTAATGCCAATTCTATTCATTTGGATCTTGGATTGTAATTTTTGTACGAGAGCGGGGATGTAGTTTGAGCAGCGCACGGACACCAGAAAACGTCACCCACGTCTTCGCCATGGAGATGTCACTCCAGGCTCCTCACCAACAAAGGGCGGGATTTGGGCTAAACATTATCTCGGGAGATAAACGGATGTTTACTATAAATACTGTCCATTTTTCTGCCTTACGTACGCGCAAATAAATTTTAAAATTTTTACTTAAAAAATTTTAAAATAAAATTTTATCATATAATTTAATAATTATTGGTTAGAATAAATTCTTTTTTAATATAACCCCTATTTTAAAGATCTGAATAGCTAAAAATAACATGACTTCGTTATAAAAGCTTTTTGAATTTTCCTATACTATATTTTGATTGGTCCATCTAGCTTTTGTAACAAAAGTTTTCCCCTTGCGAAGGATCGTTAATTAATTTGTTTGTTTAAAACCATTTATTTTACATTCAATATCATCACTTGATAAGACACCGGAACAATTGAAACAAAATGGCTATTTTAAAGTGATTTTATAACATATTTATGTTATATTTTTTAAATAAAAAATTAAATATTATATATATATATATATATATATATATATATATATATATA